AGATGTTCATTAGCCAAATAACATTTCTTATATTTCCCATACCAAAGGTGATGTCAAGATAGATAGCAAATTGGGTAGATCAATTGATCCATTTCTATCAAAGAGGGGGGTCTCAGTACAAGGGAATAGTTAACCCACAGCCGCTCATCCGACAGTTTCGTCATCATTGAATGATGGCCCTAGATAGAATTCATTGAGGTCAGTATTGGCTTGTATAAGGAAATTTGAATTTATATATAGTCTAGTAAGGAGGTTTTAGAAATCCTCAAAACTGAGAGAATCATCAGAATGAGATTGTAAAGTCGCCATTGGATGCAGAAACAGACGTTGTGAAGGATTCTTGAGAAGCATAATGAGGAAGCAAGACAATGAACAGTGGCCTTTATAGAACGCACGAGGTAAAGACATGAAGGTAATAGCGAGAGGAAGTGGCGTGTCTTTTGGGTTTATGGGGATTCGTAATGTTACACATTTTCAGATTATAGAAGGGTTACAATCAAACGCAAATAATGATTGAAATTCTTGAAAATTTCAAATATTGCCGAAAAATACAAAGAAAGAATATGACAAAGATTAATAATTAGTATTAATTCTGCCATATTGGGNTTAACATATGAGATATTATGGTTATTCAGAATAGCAGTTATTGAAGCAATTATCGAGCAGACTTATCACATTCAGCGATTCAAGGAGCCCATTTGAAGGCGGTTGAACGACAAAGAGTAATGACAACAGTTAGAGATGACAGTTTCACGACAAGTTATCCACCATGAAGAAAGTGGGTAGTTATAAAGTAATCAAATAGTTTTCAAGCAGTTTGTCACGAAAAAATCATCATGGGCATATAAAAAGGAAGGGAAGACATAGAGAAAAAATCCTCGAATCAAACACTTTCAAACGGAGAATATGTAATTTCAATTTTTTAGATTAAGTTTAATTATCAATTTTCAGTACTCGTGTGCTTGCGCCCCTTGGAGGCATTTTGTTTATTTCCAATTGTAAATCATCGCCAATAAAACACCCATTTTTGGAACTTTGTCTCAAGAGGTCTATTCTTTACACAATCGTCTGGACTTTTTTTAATTGTTAGCGAAAACTCGCGCGAAACAAGTGTCTATAACTTTTAAAAGTTGGAGGAACATTTATATTTGTATTAGAAATAAGAAGTTGCTTGACAATGCTTTTTATAAAAGTTTTAGCATATTCAATTTATGAAATTTATGGTTGAAAGATTGATAAAAAGTTGGGAGTCTCATTAAATATGTGGTTAAAATATTTGTGACTTTGACGTCAAGTTTTTAGCAACTTTTTAAGTTATCTCAAACAATCACCAAGTTGCTAAATTGCTATCTATACAATGAATTAAAATGCATTTCAAGTTTTCAACTCTGTTAGATAATAAACCGAGGATCCACTACTAGCTAAACTGACGATTGTGAGTAAGGCTAATAATGATAGACTTGCTCATTTATAAATACTTATAAGCTTAACTTCCAAGTCTTAATTAGTTATTGACGTTCTCCTATAAACTATGACAAAAAAATTCACTTTTGTTCAATAGTCCTCATTTCCTGCCTTAGAGACTTACAATGCTAAAATTTGCAGGGGAAAAAAATGAATAGCATTTTCTTCCATTCCCAATAATTGACCTTTCAAAAATAACAGAAGAATTAGTCTATCTTTAAACCCAAAAGATTATAAAAGCATGTTAAAAGGGTTCTCTTCAATTTAGGGATTAAGGTCTAGTTCAAGTAATAAGAGTGAAGTCTTACTAGGTCAATGAAATGGTTCAAGTCTCATTTGTTGGAAAGGTAAAATTCAAAAAACAAAAAATAAAAAAGTTTCTTTCAAAATCGTTCTTCACTTTACAAACCCGGAACGTCTTTGTGCAGGTTGCCACATAAAGTTGAGTTTTACCATGACAATAAAAATAAGTATACGAGTCTTAAAGATTTTCTTAAATGGAAAACACCACCATAGCCTAAACGTGGTGTTTAAGCCTACACTTGGACTCAATGGAGGCGTTAGGAGTGACCGTCTTTCTAGTTGGCAAAATTATAAATCCTTAACTTCAGTGGTACATTCATACTGAATACTCCACTGTCCAAAAACCATTGCCTACCCCATTGCCTTGGTTTCCTTGGCATGCTCTATTTGTGTTTAATTTTAATTGACTTGAGTGCTGGTTTTTAGCAATAAACAGTAATGGGCTGGTATGAAGGTTTACCAATCAGAACAAAGCCCCAAAATTTTGCAACTTGACTAAATCCTCTCAACAAAGTCCCAATATGACTCAACAAAGTCCCAATATGAGTTTTCAAGACCATAAAGTTGAGCATAACTTTAAATGTACCACAACTAACCACTATGGTATAAATGCCAAAAGACAAATTTTTTCATGACTTGTCTCAATGAAGCCAAAGAGGCAAACACAACGACCATCTAAGGATTTTTCGCTATGCACAGAGTGAAAAGTGTCTTCCATTTAACATAAACTAAGTTGATGTACATGTCACAGGTAGAAAGAGCTAGTCGAGCTGCTTACTAGTCCGACATAAGAACTTGATATTGTTTCTTGATGTGTATGGTGGAAAGTGATTGAGGTTAGACAATATATGCATGTTCAAATCTTGGGTAAAGTCTTAGCCAATTGCCAAATGGAAAGGTGAAATAGATTTATGAATGATAAAGACATAAAGACCCCAAGTTGGTAATAGTCCCTCCTTTGAACGCTAGCTAATCCCATGTCCTATTAAATTCAAGTCTTTCTGTCTTTCTTGTTGTTGCCAAGGCAACTTCTGCCATTCCATGTTAGCAGCCCAATTAATTAATTTCATGCACTTTTTTCCTTGTAGATTGCCAACTGTGATTCAGGTTCCACCTATTTCTCTAAGAGGTGGCTGGTCCATGGAGGCTTTTAATGTGTGAAAGGTGACTAGCAATTCACTTTTGGTTCACCAATTTATCAAGTTCAATTTTATATCAGGCAAATTTCATTAAACGTAACTATACTTTCACTCTGATGTCAATCGCGTATATATTCTTCAATTTTGCTTCAATAGATAATTACACTTTCATGTGATTTCAATCAAATAACTCTGTCCAATTCTATTATGATTAAAATTGATGAAAATCAACGACATGTCAACCAATATAGTATGGCTGCCATTTATTTCACTAAAGCTATGCTTGTTCCATGCCATTAACTAACGGTCAGGTATGATGATCGTCATTTATTGAATATCGTGTCATCAGTTTTCACGAGTGGAATTGGGCTGATTTATCTCAACTCATTTTAAATCCAATAGGACATTTCATTGCCTTTCTTGTTAAAGTTTCTTATTATTTTGCAAGTCCAACACATAACCGTGATACTGTTGGTTTGTGTGGAACATAATCAGACTGTACACTACTCATCTCTCAACTACATATCGAATTAATATATTACTATTGTATAAATGATATTTTTGGGGGTTTTGATGGTTGAGAGGTTTGTAATCTTTTTCTACATTACTGTGAAAACAAGCATCGCAGTTGATGTAAAATTCAAATTTGAAGGCGATCTAGTATAATACATTTGTGCTTATCTCATAAACAATACAACACCATATCAAGTTTTGGAATCCGTCCATGTAAGAAATAAATACGACGAAATCCAAATTATTTTTTCAAGTGGCTCATGTCGGCATGGTCCACATGCCTTAATGAATATGCGACTCAAGTAGAAATTGTATGTTAACCTTGTACTTTAAAAATCACGCAACCCTTCTCTATACACTTAACCAAAAAGGGCTATTGAAATTATATAAAAGTTCAAACCATCATTTCTCGATATTGTATTAGAATCTTTGGCCATAGAAATACATTATCTAGCAGGGATTGAGAAAGCAAGTTATTCAATTGCAAAGATCTTGAAATTCTACAGTTAATATAAGAAATTATTGAAGTTGAAATTAAAATTATGTGTCCCTACAAATGGTACTTTTTTGAGCTGGACATGAACCATTCTGATCCAATTATTGCCAGTGTGCACTCCTTATCTAGTCATGTAATGTCACGTTCTCAGTCTCCTAAAATTCTATATTCTCTATATTCTCTGTCTCTTACTTTGTTTCAAATCAAAGATTCATTCATTATTTTACCTAAAAAAGAATTTTCTACATGGAATCAAACTTAATTTTCTTGATTTCATGGCTTTGTTTATCAGATTTAAAAATGCATTTACTGCTCTATTGTCTCTGGCTCTTACTTTGTTTCAAACCAAAGACTCATTCATTATTTTACCTAAAAAATAATTTTTTGTTAATCATGCTACATGTACATTAATGTTTACATCATTTTTGACATCGTGTCTTGACATTATTGGATAGTTTTAAAAAAAAAACACACATTTCCGCCCATTTTAATTTGAAAATAAATGGAGTGTACACCACAATGTCAACAAGAGAATGTACAAGTGGCCTTATCCATTATCTGCATTGAATCAAACTTAATTTTCTTGATTTCATGGCTTTGTTTATCAGATTTAAAAGTACATTTACTGACAAATAGATCCATGCCAAAATCAAGTACATGGAGGCACTCAACATGACTAAATAATACAACATACAAGACTTTGTGCTTGTTTGAATTTTATTATAAGTTGTTAAAATTATAATGTGATGAAAATAAGTGATAAATAAGTAGGTGTTAATTGTATATCCTATGAAATGTGGACTTAAAATTAAATTTTGTATTTGACATTTAATTATAAGGATATTATAATGAAAGGCAATTAACCTTTTTATTTCTTCTTTAACATTGTTGTGCATATAGTGTATAATCTATCTCGCCGAACAAGAAACATGACGAGTAGTTGGTTTCGAGCACATAAAGAGTTGAAAAGGAAAGATCAAACTACATCAATCGCATACAAATAAAAGGAAACTACATGTCATAAAATTAAAACAAGATCAAGAAGTTGAGGATTATGTCTCAAAAAAGTAGAAACTTTGATGAAACTACCAAAAAGTTCTTGATTTCTTGGAAAGTGGGTTGATCTGTGGAACGGCGAATGAACATTCATCACTCCGCTTTCTGCTGGATTTGATGTCTGTAACTTCCTTAGACTCCTTCATCCCATTAAGATTTGGATCCCAAAAGGCCATGTTTAAAGGAGGATATAATTGATTTTGTGTCTGATGTAAACAAGGGGCTCGAGGGACCCAACTGCTCATATTTTCTGGGGTTAAACCACTTGGATTGCCCTCAAAACCAGCATCATTCTTTAATGACAACACATCATTTTCTGTAGCCTGCAACAGGATCAAATTTAAGAAATTAATATCAGTAGGTAAATTTAAATGAAATAATGTCTCGTCTTTAACTGTTTTAGGACAGTTAGTTTAACACATTATAAGAACAATTAAAGGTCAATTGAAACGAATAGATAGGTCACCTATTTCCTATATTTAAGGATGAGGCAATTTAACACAGAAAACCCGAGTATATTTATGTATGGATGTAAAAGTTATCCATGAAGTGCTTAGATGAAAGAAGCAATAATGCAAACCTTACAGAGACCATAAGTAGATGAAGAATCAAGAAGGTCTTCTACATGCCACCCTGGTAGCATTTCTATCAAATATTCTGATATGCTACTTGTTGAAAAATTATACCCTCCATTTATCAACGCTTGACTATTCTGGTTCTCACCGCCTTTCTCAGCTGCTGGTGGAGGTGGAGGTGGCGGGGTTGCCTGTGCCATGGAGCTTTCATCTGTTGACGTGGCCTTTGCATCAGTACTATGTTGTTTGGTTGAGGGAAGAGAAGCAGGCTTATTTCTTGCATATTGGGACTTTTTATTAGTTGGAATAGAGTCAGAAACACTGGTTAAACAAGATGTGGATGGTGCTGAAGGATAAAGGGCAGAGGTTGCAGAAAGTTTTAAACCAGTGAGAAGAAACCTATTGTGCTTTAAAGTGTGCTCATTTGCTTTGTGTATTGATTCATCACACACTTTGCATAGAATTGCCCTGTCTTGTTGACAAAACAAGAAGGCCCTCCTCTCCTGCAAATAGAGATTGAATTAAGCACTAAAGTAAGAAAATACACATTTATAGTGGTTCAGATCGTCAGAAAAACCGAGCTCCAAAAATTCTTTATATCATTGGATATAGGAAGATTGAATACATTTAGGACATATTTGTAACTTTTATTCATGGTACTGTCGAGTCTGCACAATTCTACGTGCTAAACGCGCTCAATGAGGATATGATTAAGCTCCGTACCATCCAAAATGGAAACACAAACCCCGAACCCAAAAAGGAAAGGAGGATTATTATTATACCTGACAGATATCACAGACAGGAGCCTGTTTAGGTGAAGGTTGGAGGAGGGAGAAGCGTTGGTGTTTTCCGGCCAGCTTATTGGCATGATGGACACGACTGTCGCAGGCGTCGCAAAGGGCTGCTTCATCTGCAATACAGAAGAGTATTGCTTCATCTTTATCACATACATCACACTGGATCTTCATTTTATCGACCTGATCAGAGGCCCTTTTGTGTATTTAATTCCTCTTGAATCAAATTGATTGAGAAATGTGCAGGAGGGAGTTATGGGGCGTTGAGATTTAAGAGAAAGAAAAGGAGAGAGGATGGGGGATTTATTTTATTATATTCGAGCATTATAGTCAATAAGTGTGATGAATCTGGAATAAAATATAACGTAAAACAGTAGAAGTAGGCTACGCCATTCATGGTTATTTTTGGTGAGGATAAATAGATTTCGGTATTAGGATCCATTTGGTAGAGTTTTTGCTTTTACCATACTTTCCGTAGAAGAATTTTTAGAAAGTCACTTTAGGTTAGCTTCCTTCAAACCTCTTTTAATCAGATAGAAGACTTACAGAAAATTAACCAAACATGTTCAAATACAACATCTTAATCTTAGAGCATTTCCAATGGTTGTATAAAATAGATCTAAATTGTGATTTGGATTTTCAAAGTGATAAAAAAAAATTCTTAAATAAAGAGATGCAAGAAATGCAAATTGAATTTTTCGACAAAAAATATAAAAATATATATATAAATTTATATTTTTTTACATCCACAAGAGGCAAAAGTGGATATAATTTTTTTTTCATTGGTGTAGAATTTAGATTTAGATCCACGGGGTACATGAGGATGCAGAAGTAGTTTAGGAGATATCAATTTACACTCAATTTTACTCTAGCAATTTTTAGTTTTTCAAAACCTCTACCAAACGGATCATTAATACGATGGACCCAAATAATTATGATCGAAGTAAGAGAAAAACAAAATGACGATGACACTATGTTTAGTCTTATCTTTAGTAGTACGTCATACGGCGTATTAGTGTACTATGAATCAATTAAAGTAACTCTACACGTGGCAGTAACTCTACACGTGTAGTATAAAATTTTATTGAGTCACTAAGCTTTAATTTATTTTAATTGAGTCATCGAACTTCAATTGTGTTTCAAATTTCATCACTCTTTCATGTTTTACCTGTGATCCTAGACTAACATAATTGCTTAGTTGACAGTCATTCCCTAACGAATCTTCTCCGTGATCGTTACATGATAGCCTACAAACAAAATGTACAACGATTGTTTATGACAATGTTTGTAAAATGTAAAAAATGTGTGTTTATTTAAATCTTTTAAAAGTTAAGTAATCGTAAAATTGGCATCTGTCGCTACGATTAAGGGGAAGATCCATTGTCATATTGCTACAAATTGAGCAATTTTCATCAATTTAGGACACAACAAATGACATATAGTGGTGAAATTTGGAATTAAGTTAAAGTTTAGAGACCTAATTCGAAATAAAATTAAAATTCAATGACTATTTTGTGAAAAAAAAAAAGTTTAATAATCGAACCGATGAAATTTACCCGGCCACCTCCTGACTTTGTATTATATCCCAAACTTTACTCAAATAGTGAAAATGAAGTCATCGTATGACATTTTACTTTGGGTTATAAATTAAATTATGTGCCATAAGATGAGACAGTTTGAATTATATAGTTATGAAATGACTTCCTATATTTTAATGTCAAAGGACAAATAAGAAGGCAACATGCAAAAGAAATGTCAAATTTTTTTTTTTTTTTTTTCAACTTACTTTTACTTATTTCGAAAGTGACATTTACATTTTAATTTTTATTATTGTTGTCCAGACTGGACTAAGGACTCAATTATTCAAATTTTCTTGACCAACACACTCTCTTGCGTGCAAGTTTTGAACAACTTTCGTCAAATGCCTAAGTATATAATTTTCATAAATCAACCTAGTCTATCTTTGTACAATAACTGTTACTTATAGAATTGTTTCTTATGTTTATTATTANTTTTTTTTTTTTTTCTTTTTCATTTTCTTAATCACTAGATGATAAAGTCTAACAATCATTGCGGCCAAAAAAAAAAACCTACTTTAATAAATTTCATTCAAGTTACTAAATTTTTCAATAGAATTATTAAACTTTAGTTTATTTTAATTATGCAATTGAACTTCAATTTAGTTTTAAATTTCATCATTGTGTCGCATTCCATCATTAATTGTCATCTACATTAGCGACAATTGCACAGTTGACAATTATAAGGTAACTGGTCTTTTATATAATCATTATGTGACACCTTAGAAACGAAAATCATCAAATAATTATGAAAATATCTTTGAATAAAAATGTTAGATTCATATTTCTATTGTTTTATATAATCAGATTATTAAAGTACATTAGCATCTTATTTTTTTATTTTTTTTATTTTTTAAATAATCTTCAAACAGAAGTAGAGAATCAATACTCGAAAAGAAACTTTAGTCAGTGTGAAGCTAGAAACACTCCCTTTACCCATGGCAATACGGTCAATCCACCGAAAGAAACCATGATTAGAAATTATTGGTATGCCTAAAGACTCAGACACCCTACTTGGATTCATTAGGACAAAAAAATCATTAAAAAAGAACATTTTTTCATCATAGATCCTAGGTTTTAGTTCCAAGTTGATGCCATTTTTACATGATAGTGCAAAAGCCACTACTTTCAAAGCTCATGGGCAGGATTATTAGCGGTGGCGAATGCACATACGACGATTCTAAACAAGCGTCTTGAAATGCTTGTCGGAAAGGAAAACAACGACCATATTCATCATAACTGCTCATCCGGTAACCATATGGATTATCATGGTTCGGCAAAAATAAGTTGCTCGAACACTGTTCATATTTGAACCAACATAATTCTGCATGTCCTCCAACTTTTCGCAGCTTTTTCATAAGTAATTTTGGATCAATCAAACCTAACACGTACACAACGCCTTACTCATCCATCTTGAAACTATGTACTCCTCGACTACTGGATAGCACACTCCTGACTACCTTTTGTCATCCCGGACTGTGTACATTTACTCTCAGAATGCAAGACATGAATGTTGAATTGTCTTCCTTAAATGAACGAATCCATTTGTAAGGTGTCATTGATGGGATTTATTCAACAAAGTTTTTCTTAAAGTCTACATTAAAATCTTATATAGTATCCAAATACATGAACTTTAAGTCGCATTTATTTTTTATGGTTGTCAACAAAATTGGTCGAATGTCAATCAATTAAATCAAAACTAAAAATGGCTCAATTGAGATAGTAAAAATGTAACTCGGATAAAATAGTCTGATTCTCTTTTTACAGTAAAACCTCTATAAAATAATAATGTCTAGGATTAAGAAACATAATAAGTATATTTTTGGTCGGCCAGTTTTATCAACCGAAGTCCAACGATTTGATTTTTGCAACGGCTATGTCATACTTTCGGTCGACCGACCTTACTCAACCGAAAGTGACAGATTGTGTCTTCTTTACCCTATAAATATTCATCTCTTCTTACATTCAATATGAACAACTTATAAGAGATTTTTAAGAGCTTGTTTATTGAAAATCATTGAGATTACTTGAGTCAAAATTCTATTTCATTTATTACAAAAGAGTTTCTTGATTGAATCAACTTATTTCATTCATCTTATCAAGAATTCTATTTTGCAAAGAGTTTTTCACAACTTCATCGACTCTTCGTTCTTGAGAAAAGTTTTGTCTGCCAACACTTTGATTTAAGTGTAAATATTTCTTCATACTTAATTCGTAATATTTGTTAAGAGAGATTATTGGTTTGAAAAGTTGGATAAAAAAACTCAAACTACTTCATCATCAATTATTCATCATAGTTTTCATCATAAACATTTGGGCTTTATTATTTGCTATCTATTGAAGTTTTATCCTAACTCTCTAAATACTTGACTTGATTATATCATTTGTTAAGAAAGTTCTTTCAATCATAAAATTATCATTTATACTTTGGTGATTTCAAAAGCCTTGTGAAAACTCAATTGTTATTAAGGATAAGTGTTCTTTGTTGAAATTCATTTAAGGATAGGTGCTCTTTGTTGTAAGTCACCTAAGGATAAATGCTCATTGTTGTAAGTTACTTAAGGATCGGTACTCCTTGTTTGTAAGTTACCATTATAATGCATTTGACATTTCTCGTGATAGAGAGTTTGGTAACAGGGACGTAGAATATATTGTATATCGAACCCCATTAAATTGGCTTGTTATCTATATATTATCGCACTTCACTTTACATTATCATTTTTATTGTGCTATATTCATAACTTGAATTAAGTTATCAAACTTGCATATCTAATTCTAGTATTATATTTTGCATTCATATCTTGTATATTATATTGTTTTGAGACTAAGTGTCGAAAAAGTTTCAAAAATCAATTCACCCCCCTCTTGATTAGTTATTTTTGGGTTATCAATTGGTATCAAAGCATAGGTGCACATTTTTAAGAGTTCACTATCTTGTGTTATAGCTAATCTTAATATTGAGGGGGCATTCTACAAATCTTCCTCCTTTATTTGATGGTACACATTATAATTATTGGAAAAATAGAATGATGATTTATATTCAATCAATTAATTATAATGTTTAGGAGGTTATTGAATTTGGTCCTCATAAACTTACTAAGTTTATTAAAGTTGATGGTAACCCAGACCGAACTATTCCAAAGCCTAGAGAAGAATATTATGGGGATGATAAAAGAAAATTGTCATTGAATGCTAGAACTAAAAATCTTCTTTATTGTGTTTTGAATATAAATGAATTTAATCGTATTAGCACATGTGATTCCGCATATGATATTTGGCATGCATTAGAAATTACACACATGTGCACAAATAAAATAAAAGAAATTAAGATAAATCTCTTATTTAAAAACTTCTTTATGAAACAAGATGAACCCATTGCTAGCATGATTACTCGATTCACCGATATTGTTAATGGTCTTAAAGGTTTTGATCGAAAATTTATTGTGAACTATATTTTATTGTGTAAATGCGTGGTTGAAAATGATTCTACGGAAAACAAGTTTTAAAACCATGAAAATCAGAGAGGGGCTTAATATATTAAAAATAAAATCAATATGTTTGAATACACATTTAATCAATTAAAGCAAAACTAAAAGA